AAAAAAAAAAAAAATCTGATATTTGATAATGGTGCTCCGAGGTTTGAATGTTCCTGTGTATATAATTAGATTTTCTTCTGTTTAGATTAGCAATTTGTGTGTTTTGATGGGCTAATAATAAATAACTAGTACAATAACGTTGAGTTAAAAAATATATGATAAAAGTTATTAATGCTTAATTTCAAACCTAATTCTACCTAAAAAAACCAATATAAAAATAACATCACGAAACATAGATTTTCGCCATGTCAGAATCCGCCACTTATGTTCAAAAACATTTTGAATTAACATATATGCATTAAGCGGGTGCTAATAATGAAGAGCAATTTATATATTTGTTAATAAAAAATAATAAGGGGACAAAAAACCAAAAAAAAAAAAGAAAGGAAGTAGACCAACATAAAAAGCACGTATTTACAAAATATGCTTTTTTATTTATTTCCACCTCTTTGCCGTAAAAAATTCTAATAATGAAACATGTAATGTTACCACATCACATCCCGAACATTCTGAATTAATAGAGGGGATAATAGATAAAATGCTAATGATAAACTTTAGTTGATGGAGTGGTGTCTATGTGTGTTATATTTTTCCCTCATTTTTTTTTTTTTTTTTTAAATTAGAAAAGAGTTGTGCACATCTTTTTTCCTCCTTTTCGTGACTGCTTGTCCTTTTCCAATTACAACTGCAATTGTAGTATTATCCTTTTCTTAGGGGTTGCTTGCTCTTTTACTTTACTTTTTGCTTAATTGCTATTTAAATCCTTAGATCTTGGGGGCTGTCCATTTTAGTCATATAATTTTCTTTTAATGTAATTTCGACCCATGGACTGGTCATCTTTGAGCCCAAAATATTAATTTTACGTTCTATATGTTTGGAGGGATTAGCCAGGATATCTCGGCTTATCCTTCCCCTATCCCATGTTTGTTTCATAGGATTCAGGCCCAAGAGTACTCGGACCGGGATGAAAATGACTTTTATCCTTTAGAAATCGGAATAAGTCCATCCTTGTTTTTAGGGGGATCAAACCGATCCTTGCAAACTAAAATCCGTTTTATCCACATTTTAATGTGAATTTTTTGTGACTAGTTTATTTTAGAGGAGTATAACAGTATTTTACACCATTTTGCTTAATTTGTGGTGACCTAGACATTTTTTTTTAAAGCTAAAGTTATCTGACTCATTATCATATATAACAAATATATGATTAGTTTTATTCAAACAGTACAATCCATCACAATTCGACTATTTTAGTCCAATCTCATCCTAAAAAGCAGACATGGGCTAAGTCGATAACTACATTACCAAACATACAAAATCAAATACTAATTTCTCTTTTTTTTTTTTGGTACACAAATATTAATTTCTTTTATTGCAATAGAAACTTGTTGAGAAAATGCTTTCTTATGAAGCCTCATGAATACTTGACTGGCCCTTTTGTCCTTAAGACTCAACCCCATAATTTTGGTCTCTTTTCTTATGGGTTACTCAATCATGGACTAATCTCTTTACTAATCTGATCTGAGTGTCAGTAATCATCATCATATTATGTACTTTTTGTATATTATTGCAATTCACCTTCCAAAATGAATGTATGTTCATGCATTTTCATCTATGGTCCATCCAAACTGTTTTTTTTTTTCTTAATTAAGAAGTCATCATCTCATGATTATGATCCTTAATAATAATAATTGTCATGCAACACCTAATACTATGCAAAATTATAATAAATTTCAAGAAGGAAAATTAACTGTCGATTCGAAAACAGATTTGATGCCAAGGCCATGCTCGAGAAATTACGAAACAAACGTGTCGTTTTCGCTGGGGACTCGATAGGCCGAAACCAGTGGGAGTCTCTACTTTGCATGTTGTCCTCTGTAATTCCCGATAAGGACTCAATATATGAAGTGAATGGAAATCCCATCACAAAGCACAAAGGATTCTTGGTTTTCAAGTTTAAGGATTATAATTGCACGGTAGAGTACTATAGGGCCCCTTTTCTGGTCCTGCAGAGCCGCCCCCCTTGGAATGTTTCGTCACTTGTTCGAACCACGTTAAAGCTCGACAAAATGGATTGGATGTCGTCCAAATGGAAGAGTGCTGATGTAATCGTTTTCAACTCGGGACATTGGTGGAATTACGAGAAAACTGCAAGAGGGTAATTATCTCGCACCATTTTTTATTTTTATTTTTTTTGCGTTGTGTTCTTGAGTTCAGCCTTTTTTGTTTTTTTCGCTGATACATTTATACATGGTTTACTTTACCAGAGGCTGTTACTTCCAAGAACGCTCAAAAGTGAAGATGGATATGGATGTGGACATTGCATACCAAAAAGCCCTTGAAACAGTTATAAAATGGATAAACCGTGAAGTAAACACAACAAAGACTCAAGTTTTCTTTCGTACATACGCTCCTGTACACTTCAGGTTTGTTCCAAATTCACCTTTGTGACTTCTTATGGACACAAATCGAGTTTTCCTCGCTGAACTTTGCAAAATACTTATAAATTTTGCAGGGGCGGAGATTGGAGGTCCGGTGGTGCATGCCACATGGAAACCCTCCCGGAGCTTGGCCCCACGATATCTAACTCGTGGACTAAATATACTACTTTTGGGCGCGTAATGTCATATGATTCGAACTCCTCATCACTTTCACGGCCATTGGAAGTGTTAAATATAACCCACATGACATCAAGAAGGAGAGACGGGCATTTGTCTTTGTATTACAGGGGTAAAAAAGCGGGTCCTGCCCCTCTTCACAGACAGGATTGCAGCCATTGGTGTCTGCCGGGAGTGCCCGATGCATGGAACGAGTTACTGTACGCTCTTTTCTTGAAACGAGAGGCAGTTAGAGCATCAAATTCATCTGCCTTTCATCTGCAGGTATAATTGGTTATGGCAAAAGGTGTAGAGAGATAGTATTTATTGATATGGGGCAAGAAGAGTTTTATTTTTATTTTTATTTTATTTTATGTTTTATTTTTGGGTTACTTGTTTATGGGGTTGGGTGTCTCACAATTTTTGGTGCATTTTTTTGCATTAGTTTTTTTTTTTCAGAATATAAATAGTAACAACAGATTGACTGATCTGTGGGGAGAGACTCTGAGAAAACATACATTTTAATTATAATTTTTTTTTTCTGCATTTCCATTTTTTTTTTTTTTTAACAAAACGATAGAGGATATTATAATTCAAAAACGCTTAAATGTGCAAAGTACAAAGCTCCTAGCAAAAAAGAACAGCCAACAGCTGAAAATTGGGAGACGTGTCATAAGACCGCCTAGAGCCAGATTAGCAATGCTAGAAAACAAACTCAAAACAACACAACACAGAGACCAAACTAAGACGACCCCAACGGAGTAAAAGGAACGACCCGCAACGGAATAATGTAGAACGACCCCCAACAGAGTAATGCCTTGTAGTTGTTGTTCGTAGTCAGTTCGTTGGAGTGGATTTATCATTTATCACTTGTATGAAGAAGCATATTTCAATGTGATTGGTTGGGGTCTAAGAGGAGGATTTTCCACTTGATGCTCGTCAGTTTTCATTTGCCACACCAATTTATATTTATTATTATTTATTTGTTTATACTATTAGAGGAATGATTTTGTAAAAATTTGCACGGACTAAAGCGTCTTTCAGTTTATATTATTTTTAATGGCAGAATTGTGATAACTATTATGAATAATAATTAATTGTAATCACAATTAACTATCTCAATAAAATAGGATTCAA